ACATCTTTGTCTCATTCCTCACTGTAGGGGAAAGGCTCTCCATATCATTTATTTCTGCTCTAATCTTTATTAGTTCCCTTCGTCTGCTGACTAGGGCTTTATTTGCTGTTCCTTTTCTAGCTCCTTTAGGTAAAAGGTTAGGTTGTATATTTGAGACCTTTCTTGCTTCTTGAGATAGGCCTAATTGCAATATACTTCCCTCTTAGGACTGCCTTTGCTGTATTCCAAAGGTTTTGGACTGTCATGTTTTCATTTTTGTTTGCTTCCATATATTTCTTTATTTCTTCTTTAATTTCCTGGTTAACCTGTTCATTGTGTAATAAGATGTTCTTTAACCATCATGTATTTGAGGGATTTCCAATTTTTTTCTTGTGGTAGATGTCAAGTTTCATAGTGTTGTGATCTGAAAATATGCATGGTACGATCTCAATCTTTTTGTACTTCTTGAGGGCTGATTTCTGACCCAGAATGTGATCTATTCTGGAGAATGTTCCATGGGCACTAGAAAATAATATGTATTTTGCTTTTTTAGGATAGAATGTTCTTTATTTTTTTAAGTTTATTTATTTATTTTGAGAGAGACAGAGAGAGAGAGAGAGAGAGAGAGAGAGAATATGAATGGGGGAGGGGTAGAGATGGTGAGAGAGAATCCCTGCTAGGAGCCTGCTAGGCTCCATGCTGTCAGCACCGAGCCTGATACAGGGCTTGATACCATGAACTATGAGATCATGGCCTGAGCTGAAATCAAGAGTCAGATGCTTAACTGACTGAGCCACCCACATGCCCCTAGGATGGAATGTTCCAAATATATGTTAAGTCTGTCTGGTCCAGTGTGCCATTCAAAGACATCATTTCCTTGTTGGTTTTCTGCTTAGGAGGAATATATATATGTGTGTATACACACACACACACACACACACACACACACATATATGGATCTTGTGTTTTTATCCATTCTGTTACCCTAGGTCTTTTGACTTAGAACTTTTACATTCAAAGTGATTATGGAAAGGTATGAATTTAGTGCCATTGTGTTACCTATAGAATTGGTGTTTCTGGTGGCATTCTCTGGTCTTCTCTTTTTTAATTTTTTTTAATGTTTATTTATTTTTGAGACAGAGAGAGACAGAGCATGAACGGGGGAAGTCAGAGAGAGAGGGAGACACAGAATCTGAAGCAGGCTCCAGGCTCTGAGCTGTCAACACAGAGCTCAACGTGGGGCTTGAACTCACGGACCATGATATCATGACCTGAGCCGAAGTAGGACACTTAACTGACTGAGCCACCCAGGCGCCCCTGGTCTTTTCTTATCTTTGTTGCTTTTGGTCTTTTTCCTCCACTCAAAGAGTCCCCCTTAAAATTTCTTGCTGCATTGGTTTAGTGGTCACAAACCTCTTTAGTTTTTGTTTGGGAAACTCTTTATCTCTCCTTCTATTCTGAATGACAGCCTTGCCAGATAAAGAATTTTTGGCTGCATATTTTTCCAATTCAGCACGTTGAATATATCCTGCCACTCCTTTCTGGCCTGCCAAATTTCTGTAGATAGATCTGCTGTGAACCTGACTTTTCTTCCCTTGTTGGTTACGGACTTTTTTCCCTTGCTCCTTTTGGGATTCTTTCCTTGTCTGTGTATTTTGTGAATTTGACTGTATGCCTTGGCAATGGTTGGCTTTTGTGGAATTTAATTCCCTGTGCTTTTTGGATTTTGATGTCTGTGTCTTTCCTCAGATTAGGGAAATCTTCAGCTATAATTTTTATGAATAAACCTTCTGCCACCTTTTCTCTCTCTCCATGTTCTGGGATTCCTTCTGTATGAATTTTGTCACATTTTACTAAGTTGCTGAATTCCCTGAGTATACCTTTGTGATCCATTACTTTTCTTTCCCTCTTTTCATCTTCATAATTTTCCATAATTTTACCTTCTATATTACTCTGCTCCTCTGCTTCGTCCATCCTCATTTTTATGGCCTTCATTTGGGTTTGCATCTTGGTTTTACCATTTTTTATTTTAGCCTGACTAGATTTTAGTTCTTTCATCTCTTCAGAAAGGGATTCTCTGGTGTCTTGTATGCTTTTTTCAAGCTCAGCTAGTATCCTCATAATCATTGTTTTACTTATTTATTATTCATTTATTTATTTTTCATAATCATTGTTTTAAATTCTCGTTCAGACATCTTACATATATCTGTACTGATTAAATCCTGGCTGTGAGTTCTACTTCCTGTTCTTTCTTTTGGGGTGAATTTTTCTGTCTCATCATTTTGTCCAGAAAAGAATAGAAGAAAGAAAAAAAAAAAAACCAAGACAAAAAAACAAAAACCAAAACCAAAAAACTAGATCCGTGTTGTGTTTTGTTCTGCTTGTTAAAAGAATCTAGATCTAGGGGTGCCTGGGTGGCTCAGTTGGTTAAGTGTCTGACTTCAGTTCAGGTCACGATCTCACGGTCCATGGGTTAGGTTTGAGCGCCGTGGCTCTGTGATGACAGCTCAGAGCCTGGAGCCTGCTTCGAATTTTGTGTCTCCCTCTCTCTTTGCCCTTCTCCCTCTCGTGCTCTGTCTCTCTCAAAAATAAATAAATATTTAAAAAAAAGAGTCTAGATCCAAAAATATAAGTAATATAAAATAGAATAGAATAGAGAAAATAGATAACAGAAAAAAGAACTTGAGAAAAATTAAGAAGATACTTGAGAAAATAAATAATAAAAAGGGATGAAAGTAAAAAGGAAGTTAGATCCCGTTTCCCCTAGAGCTGAAGCTTTGCAACATTCTATGATCAATAGACTTGGTGTTGAGTTGTTTGTGCTAGTCTTCTGGGGGACCGACCTTCTGTGCTGATTTTCAGGCTGACTTGTTTCAGTGAAAATGGGCCGGGACGGGGTGAAAAGGAGGGGGTTGTGCTTTGTGTACGTGGCTCCATCCTCCACTAGGTGGCGCTGTTTTGCTTCAGTTCAGATGGACAGGATGCACAGCTCCCTAGCCCTGGAGCTGAATGTTCACACCTCCCACTCTTCAACAAACCCTCACAGAAGAGTAGTCACCCCTCTTGTGTACCTGGTTTTCATGAGAACCATGCGTTCACCCTGCCTGATCTGAGCTTTTTTATCTCAGGCACACGACTAAGTTTCAAAACTACACAAATTTTAGGGAATCCTGCACAGGGACCCAAGCTGTTCCCCTGGGGGAGCATCTTGCTATGCTTTTGCCCTTTGCCAGCCAGTGTGAGGAAAGCAGTCACAGACCCCGCAGTGGTTCAGAGTTTATGTCAAAACAGAGCAGAAAGCCAGCACCCTGCCTTAGCTCACTGCCCTCAGCCTGAGTCCCCACTCCTATGCTTGGGAACAGTGCAGCAGGTTGGCCTGACCCGTCTTTCTTGTGACCCAGCGGATCCTCAGACCATGCTGTCACTCCTGGGATTCTGCCCTGGTTTGCCACCTGAGCACCTTTAATCCAGGCACATCCCACATGGTGGTGGACTTCTAAAAGTTCAGATTTTGTACTCTGCTGCTTATAATACTTTGCAGTAGCCTCTGTAAGCAGGCTCCCTCACAGCCTCTGTACCCACAGCTATGTCTCTCCCAACTAAACTCTCTCCTTCCAGAAGGTGGTCATTTTTCTACCTGTAGATTTGCACTTTTTGTTCTCTCAGACCTCTGATTGATTTCTTGGGTGTTCAGAGTTATTCGATAACTTGCTTTATTTGAGGGACGAGACAAGCTGAAGGTCTCCCTGCTCCTCCACCACCTGAACTCCTTTCTCCACAAGCTTGTTTATAGAAGCCTTTTTTTATAACTGTCAAAACTTGGAAGCAACCAAGATGCTCCCTAGTAGATGAATGGATAAATAAAGTGTGGTATATCCAGACAATGAATATTATTCAACACTTAAAAGAAATGAGCTATCAGGGCACCTGGGTAGCTCAGTTGGTTAAGTGTCCCATTCTTGATTTCGGCTCAGGTCATGATCTCACAGTGTGTGAGTTTGAGCCCTGCATTGGACTCTGTGCTGAGATCATGGAACCTGCTTGGGATTGTCTCCTTTTCTTGCTGTGCCACCTCCCCCACCCCGACCAAAAAATTAAATAAACATTTAAGAAAAAGAAATGAGCTATCAAGCCATCAGTAACATGAAGGACCCTGAAATGCGTGTTACTGAGTGAAAGAAGCCAATGGGAAAAACCTGAACGCTATATGATTCTAACTACATGACATTCTGGAAAAGGCAAAACTGGAGACAATGAAAAGATCAGTGGTTGCTTGTGGAGGCAAATTGAAGTGGAACAGAGAGATGAATAGGCAAGAGCACAGAGGAAAATCAGGGAAGTGAAAATACTATGGGTGATACTATAACGATGGAATATGTCATTATACATTTGTCCAAACCCAGAGTATACATCACCAAGACTGAACCCTAAGGTAAACTATGGACTTTGGGTGATTATGATGGAACTATGGGGGTTTATCCTTGGTAAAACAAAACAAAACAAAACAAAGACGTGCCATTCCTGTGAGTGAGGTTGATAGTAGGGAGGCTGTGCATGTGTGGGGACAGAGATATATGGGAAATCTCTGTACTTCCCTCTCTAGTTTTGTTGTAAACCTAAAACTGCTCTAAAAAAATAAAATTAAAAAAAATCAGAAAAACTCCAGAGAGGTTGAAGGGTTAATCTCCACTATAGAATAGTAAAGCCCTAAGAGACATGGCAACCAAAATATATATATATGTATATATATACACACACATATATATACATACGTATACGTATACGTATCTTAGTATACTGTGTGTGAAAATATATATATACATGTACATATATACATACGTATACGTATACGTATGTATATATGTACATGTATATATATATTTTCACACACAGTATACTAAGATATAAACGTATATGTAGTCTACCTGGCAATTACTTTGACTTTTAGAGACTTGTGATTAGAGTAACTAATTTTTGTTTATTATTAATTTGTCTAAGGAAATTTTTCTTTAAACTTTCAGATGATACTGCATTGTTTGAGTTGATTCAACTAGTTCCACCAGGTACTGTATTATATTTTGATAAGGTAATTGATGTGCAAACCCATTTAAAAGAATGCTTCTTAAAAATACCATCTTTTCCCCTCCTTCCCAAATTAAGAACAATGTTGAGTTTCTAGTATTGGTCCATAAATGTAAAATGTCAATAGATGAAAATAATATATTCAGAAAGATTGACATAAATAGTATTTGAACATATTGTTCTAAGATTGAATAAATAGTAATAATGGAAAATGGAAAATTACATGCTATCATTCTAGCATATTTTGGGACATTCATAAAAACGGACTTCTGAGTTTTTGTGATTTTTCCCAAAGTCTATTTTTTTGTTGATAAAGTAATTATCCTTTTTTTTGTGTGTTGACTGTTACTAGGAATGGAGGGGAATAACCCCTTAACTGTTTAGTAAATTCTTCAAATCTCTGGGATAGGTAGAATTAAAATATGGAGACTGGCTTGATTGTTATTTACTTCTATGATTATAGGAAAAATCTACCTTAAATAATTATTTTATGTGAAAAATGGAGAACTATATGTTATTGAAAATTAGTAATCTTAAAGATTTTGAATATTACATATATACATAATTCAGGTAACCATAAATTCTAGAGAATGTCTACGTTTTTTTCCAACATGTACCATAATGTCTTATAATGTCAAGTAGAAAGGAATGGAAGGTAGAAAAAATTTGTGGAGATAGTAATTAAGTTTCCAACTTGATAGGTTTACAAGGACTTTTTTTCTCTAGAAACATGTAGGTACTCATAAAATTTACATGAACATCTCCCTTCTATAAAGGGAAAGGAGAATGTCATTATGTACTACATTTCTGAATAAGGAATCCATTTAACATAACTTGCTTTAAATTTTCCTTTCATAGGAAAACAAACAAACATGACATGAAGCAGATATTTCAGTAAAGCATCAGGCACTATATATTTTTGTACCTGATGATTTTGCTTCTGAATAGAATATTTTGTTATAGTTTGAGTCATAGTATATCTTTTTTGTAGTGGGTGAAACACTGTCTACATATGATGAAAATACACGAGATTTCATGTTCCCGGGTCCAAACCAAATTTCTGGACACCATGATTCAAACCGCCAGGTTACCATGAGGAAGATTTCTGGCCTTCGAGTAAGTGCTTACTATTTTCGGAATCAATTTGTGATATGGGATCACTGTTAAAAGCACCATATAGCCTTTAATACCTGAAATGTGAAGAACTGATTCAAAGTTTAATTTGGTTCAAAACCTAATTTTTAATGAAATTATGATGTTATTTTAAACATAAATCTGAATGAAAATGATATAACAGAACCTATGCATCTTTCATCTAGAATTAACAAGTGTTATTTTGCCTTGTATTATTCAGAGTTCTCTTTTTTCCTTCTGCCACCTGCGTCCTGCCTCCCCACATTCCCTATCTCTCTTTTCTCTTTTCTTTATTATTCCCTCAGAAGAATGACCAATAAACATTTGAAAAGGTGCTGAATCTCATCAGCATATGGGGAAATCCAAATGAAAAAAACCATATGATTTCATTTTTGTAGCCGTAAGATTGGTAAAATTTAATAAAATCTGACACTATCAGAAGTGTGAAAACTACCACAGTTCAGAATTATCTAATAAAGGCAAAGATTCTCATAGCCTGTTGCCTTCTAGGTGTGTACCTGGGGGATGTATTCTGTCTGGTATACTAAGAGATTTTCTAGGGGTGTTCACTGATAGCATGGTTCATAATAGTGAAAAATTGCAATAATTTAAATGTTCATTAGTAGGAGTTTGGATAGATTGTTGTATGTTCATGTCATGGAAATATATATTCATATAACTAAATGTGAAAGCTACAATGTGATAGCCAATTCTTCCATCCTTTCCTCCAACTCCGTTCAACTTTTGTTGGGTGATTTACACATATTTTTATCCCTGAAAATGTCTTCCACTTAGAGAAGCTGAGAGAAGACCCTGCTATTTCAAAGAAGAAAAAAGCAAAAGATGTATAGGTTCAAATAATTTGGGCAAACATTTTTTTACTAATTTTATAAAATGTTTAGGGGCGCCTGGGTGGCGCAGTCGGTTAAGCGTCCGACTTCAGCCAGGTCATGATCTCGCGGTCCTTGAGTTCGAGCCCCGCGTCAGGCTCTGGGCTGATGGCTCAGAGCCTGGAGCCTGTTTCCGATTCTGTGTCTCCCTCTCTCTCTGCCCCTCCCCCGTTCATGCTTTGTCTCTCTCTGTCCCAAAAATAAATAAACGTTGAAAAAAAAATTTTTTTTAAATAAAAAAAAAAATAAAATGTTTAAGTTGTTTGAGTAAGGGAAATGGGGTGATATATGAGCCAATATGGTGAATTAAATAGTTTTCCCTGTAGGTCTAGATTTATGATATGCTCTGTCCTTGGAAATAGCAACTTCAGCTTGCTGGAAGTGTAAAAGTTGACTAGTAAATCTATGAAAATATACTTCCTTTGAGATATTTTCAGTGTCAGTTAGCTATCTTCTATTATAAAAACCTTCAAAGAGTGTTTCAGCAAATGTATGGAAGCCTGCAATGAAAAAAAAAATCTGATTTTAACATTATGGTGTTTTGAGGGTACCTGGGTGGCTCAGTTGGTTAAACATCTGACTTCAGCTCAGGTCATTATCTCATGGTTGGTGAGTTCAAGCCCCATGTCAGGTTCTGTGCTGACAGCATGCAGTCTGGAGCCTGCCTCAGATTCTGTCTCCCTCTCTCTCTGCCCCTCCCCTATGCATGCTCTGTCTTTCTCTCTCTCAAAGGTAAATAAACATTTAAAAAAATTTACGGTGTTTTGAAAGAAATTTAAAAGGCTATATTATACCAAATTGACAATATAAACATAAAAGTATGGACCGTTAATAGGTATCTTCTTCATTTACTTTGGGTTACTTTTACATACATTCAGATGTTGGATTACTAAGACAAAAAATACATACACACACACACACACACACACACACACATATATATGTATACACATACATATAATTACTTCTGGTAATGGTGGTGTGAAGAGGTTGACTATTCCTCTCTCCATACAAAATAAGTATAAAACTGGACAAAATTGTCATAAGCACCAGTTTTAGGACACTGAAAACTGGCAATTAAGACAGATTAAGCCTGTTTAAGGTTATTAGCAAGTGTTGAATCACTGTATTGTACACCTGAAACTAATATTACACTGTATGTTAACTAACTGGAATTGAAAAAAGAAGACAGATTAAGTGTTTATACTTAAATAATGGCTAAAGATTTGGATAAAAATGGCAGGAACATGTGGCCTTCTTGCCTGAGACAGCTTCCATACCCTACTTGGCCAGTGAGAAATTGTAGCTTCACCAGTCCTGGGGTTGGGCAGAAAAATCAACAGCTCTGCTGCCAGAGGGGTCGGAATCAGGTTTGGGCAGTAAGACTGTGATATTGTAATTTTTAAAAAATATTTATTTATTTTTAATTTACATCCAAGTCAGTTAGCATATAGTGCAATAATGATTTCAGGAGTAGGTTCCAGTGATTCCTCCCTATGTATAACACCCAGTGCTCTTCACAATAAGTGTCCTCCATAATGCCCCTTACCCATTTAGCACATTGCCCCTCCAAACCCCTCCAGTAACCCTCTGTTTGTTCTCCATATTTAAGAGTCTCTTATGTTTTGTCCCTCTCCTTGCTTTTATATTATTTTTGCTTCCCTTCCCTTATGTTCATCTGTTTTGTATTTTAAATTCCTCATATGAGTGAAGTCATATGATATTTGTCTTTCTCTGACTTATTTCGCTTAGCATAATACCCTCTAGTTCCATCCACATAGTTGCAAATGGCAAGATTTCATTCTTTTTGACTGCTGAGTAATACTCCATTGTATATATACATACCACATCTTCTTTTTTTTTTTTTTTTTTATAACACATCTTCTTTATCCATTCATCTGTCGATGGACATTTGGGCTCTTTCCATATTTTGGCTATTGTCAATAGCGCTGCTATAAACATTGGGGTACATGTGCCCCTTCGAAACAGCACACCTGTATCCCTTAGTAGTAGTGCAGTTGCTGGGTTGTAGGGTAGTTCTATTTTTAACTTTTTGAGGAACCTCCATACCGTTTTCCAGAGTGGCCGCACTAGTTTGCATTCCCACTGGCAGTGCAAAAGAGATCCTCTTTCTCCGCATCCTCACCAGCATCTGTTGTTGCCTGAGTTGTTAATTTTAGCCATTCTAACTGGTATGAGGTGATACCTCATTGTGGTTTTAATTTGTATTTCCCTGACGATGAGTGATGTTGAGTATTTTTTCATGTGTCGGTTGGCCATCTGGATGTCCTCTTTGGAAAAGTGTCTATTCTTGTCTTTTGCCCATTTCTTCACTGGATTATTTATTTTTGGGGTGTTGAGTTTGATACGTTCTTTATAGATATTGGATACTAACCCTTTATCTGAAATGTCATTTGCAAATATCTTCTCCCATTCTGTTGGTTGCCTTTTAGTTTTGTGGTTGTTTCCTTCACTGTCCAGATGATGGTCCCAATAGTTCATTTTTTGTTTTTGTTTCCCTTGCTTCTGGAGACATGTCAAGTAAGAAGTTTCTATGGACGAGGTCAGAGAGGTTGTTAACCTACTTTCTCCTCTAGAATTTTGATGGCTTCCTGTCTTATGTTTAGGTCTTTCATCTATTTTGAGTTTATTTTTGTATGGGTAAGAAAGTGGTCCAGGTTCATTTTTCTGCATGTTGCTGTACAGTTTTCCCAACACCACTTGCTAAAGAGACTGTCTTTATTCCATTGGATATTCTTTCCTGTTTTGTGAAAGATTAGTTGGCCATACATTTGTGGGTCCATTTCTGGGTTCTCTATTCTGTTTCATTGATCTAAGAAATATATATTTGGTTTTATCCTTTTTCTGGCACAGAACTTCCAAAACCCTTGGAATTTTCTAAGTGGTAGGAGCAATAAAGGTGTTTTACTTGTTTTGTTATGTTTTTGAGGTAACTTTTGAAAGGCCCCTAGATAGCCTAAGGATGAGGGTTAATTGCCAGGGAGAACAAACATGTGTTAGAGGGTTGGAACTTTCAGCACCCTGACCTGTGGGGAGGGTATATGAGGCTGGAGATTGCATTAAAACACTAATGGCCAGTAATTAATCAATTGTGGATATAGTACTGAAGCCTCCACAAAAACCCATAGGGGTTTGGTTTAGAGAGCTCTTAGGTGAACGTCTGAGGCAGGTGCTGCGAGAGTTGTGTGCCTAGAGAGGGCATGGGAGCTCCATGTCCCTTCCCACCTACTTTGCTCTATGAATCTCTTCCATCTGGATGTTCAGCTGTATCCTTTATCATATTCATTTATAATAAATTGGTAAACAGTAAACTATTTTCCTGGGTTTTGTGAGCCTCTCTAGCCAATTAATTGAACCAGGGGAGAAGGGCATGGAGACCTCCAAATTATAGCTGATTGGTCAGAAACACAGGCGACAACCTAGAGTTGGGATGACATCTGAAGTGGGGTGGGTACAGTCTCGTAGGACTGATCCTTAACCTGTGGGATCTGATACTATCCCCATGTAGTGTTAGAACTGAGTTAAATTATAGGACCCCTATCTGGTGTCACAGAGAATTGCTTGCTGATGTTGGAAAACCCACACATGGGAATTGGTGTCAGAATCCTAAGGGCAAACAGTGTGTCTTCACCAACTAAATGTGGTGGATTTGGATGCAAATGGATGAAGAAACCACATAGTTTTGATAGGCCGAAGGCTGTTCCAGTTAGATTGAGCAGCCATCTGCCAGAAGGTTCACAGAAGTAAGGGAGCAATTTCACAGAGAAGTAAGGGAGGGCTGAGGTCAGCTCTCCACTCATTCCTGGCTGACTGTGAAACTATGCATATGCAAACGAGAGACAGTGCGAGCCCAGCAAAAAGTGAAACTCGGTAGAAACTACAGATCTGGCTGTGTCTTTGAATGTATTCCCCAAGCCACACACAGATAATCAACAGAGTGGAACCCTTACAGGTTCATAGGATGACCACTAAGCTATGTATATACAGGTGAGACCCCTAGAATGAATGGAAGAATCAAAAGATACATGGTATGTGTATAAACTGAACAGCAAAACGGCAGATATAAATCTA